AAAGCGGAACGGATCGCTGGGAATCACGCGAATGTTCTTCCACACGCATATTCGGACATACTCTCATGTCTGATTATTTTTCTTTTATTCTTACACAATTTTGATGATATTTTATTTCTACTAAATGCTTTTTTTTATTTGATAATACATATCAAACTTTTATAAATAAATATAAAATGTAGTATATAATTTTATATATAAATATATGAAATTATGTATTTACATATAAAAATTTTATATATATATATATATATATATATATATATATAATTAATATAATATAATATATAATATATATAATTCTAATATATCATAATTTTATATATAAATATTACATATATAAAAATTATATATAATATATACACACAATCTTTATATATAATATATAAAACAATTTAAAAGATAATACGTAAAGATTATATTCATAAAAAGTAAATATACCTGATTAATTTTTATCAGAATAGTTGTAGTCATACAATAAATAAGTGAGGGCAATTGCAAATATGTAGAGCGATGTAAAAATGCGAAAATTATTTTTATGTTTTCACATTTTGCTCATAATGTGCACAGATTAATTATATTTTATTTACCTCTAGAGCAATATTATTATTTTTTTCTATCCCTACATGAGGAATAAAAGATGCAAAACATAAAATCAAATATGCGTAATAACAAATTTTTTTTAGCATGTATTCGCGAAATATTAAATGTTCTCAGGCCAGTAATATTGACGCGATGTAATTATGTATATTCGCATGCATAACAAAATGCACTTACACGTACGCATCCACTAATAACGGTGGTAATATTGACAGGTTCCGATTTTAATAATTAAAGATACGAAAGAGGGAAAGCGCGGTTGCATTCGAAAATCATACATTTTCACAATTTTGTTCCCTTTCAAATTTATCACAATACATCACAAGCGTTGTTCCATCTTCAATTGCTTATCACCATTTAAATTATTTATTATGCATTCCGAGTTAATTTTAAAATCAAACAAGATTTTTGAATAAATTTTCACATCAAAATATGAAATGATATTCTTCTTTCTATCTTGATACAACTAAATTGGAAATTATCTTGATTACTATCGAGATGAATGATGAAGATTCCATTACTAATAATTTTTTTTAAAAAGAGGAACCAGGTTTCTTTCTCTCTTTATTTCGAAATAATTTGAAATTTAATTTTCGTGTAGATTATTAAAGACAGATCGCAGACGAAGAGTTTTTTATAAACGCTAAATCGTTTGTAATCGCAAAAACGATAATTATCGATTTAGCGTTTATAAAAAACTCTTCGTCTGCGATCTGTCTTTAATAATCTACACGAAAATTAAATTTCAAATTATTTCGAAATAAAGAGAGAAAGAAACCTGGTTCCTCTTTTTAAAAAAATTTATTAGTAATGGAATCTTCATCAATCATCAAGCGTGATCAAGATAACAGTCTGTTTTCGACTAGCACAGAATCAAAATTAAGCTAAGATCGTAAACGACTTAGATTGAGGATGGCGATCAATATATTTTTACAAATAAATGAATTCTCATTTTTCTCATTTTTTGACATTTTTTTAATATTGATTACTAGAATAACAAATAGAAAAAATAATATGTAACATTTTATGTAATTTCCAATTACTCAAAAAAAACATATATTCCTAGTACGATATCTTATATTTTATACTATTTGCATAGTAGATAGTTCTTTAAAATCATTTAGGCTAACCCTTGGCTTTTGCATTTTTTAACTCACTCTCCATTCATTTATTACTATTTGATCAAAAATATTTATAATTAATTTAATTATTTATATGTATCTCCTTATAAAATTATTACACTTTTAGGTCTCAAAATAATTATACTTTTTGAGATTACCGCAAATAAGTTTATATTCTTTTGAAAAGTCATAATTTAAAGTATAAATCTATAATAACTTTTTTAATATTTATTTATTGCATTTATTAAATTTTTGAGAAATTTTTATTTTTGTCTAATTCTTATTCGATTTTATAAAAAAAATTTAATATTTGACTTCAACAACGATTAAATGATGTTACAAAAACTTCAAAGAGTAATCCCAAATTTTTTCAGATTTTTTAAAACTTAGAATAATAAAAGAACTTTGGGAAGTCTTAAGTGATCTAACGTGTAGACCGTGCCAGTAAAAATAATCTTGCAGACGCAAGATTAAGACGGAAGATTAAGAACAAAACGGCTATATCTAAACGTATATATCTAAACGTATATATCTAAAGTTCGTAATAACATTTTATCGTACTTTGTTCTTACGAAAGCATATTAGAAATATATTAATTAATACGCGTAAGTTATACATTACATTTTGACACAATAAAATTATAAAAAATTTTCTCGGGCAATTTTATTAATAGCGCATAAATTAATTATCGCAAGAGAAATTTCGCGCAAGGTGAAAGCAATGTAATATATAACTAATTCGAAATATTGCAATATGTTACAGTTCGTCTATTATGGAGGATAACTAATTAACGAAGGAGTAAATCAATGCATTTCGTGCATCGATGTGCAACACGTGGCTCTTGTGTAGATAGTCATATTGCGTCAGGATGAGAACTAATTATCCTCTCCTATATTGGTGATATGTAATCACGCTGTCCTCGCTGTTAATATGATATAGAGGTTCTAAAGGACTGGGATGATACATAAATACTATTCCCACGCTTTCGCGCCGAGTCGATATTAATTATTTGGAACAAAGCATGACCCCTGAAAGAGGGTCGCCATTGCTTCCAAGAATGATTCAATCGATATATTCTATATACATTGACGATTTTATATGAATTAATATATGCGACTCTATATACCTGTATGTATGGAATTTATGCATTATAATAGTCGTTGAAATTTACTTACTGGAAAAGTTTATCGAGAAAGAGTTTATTAATATATTTGCGATTAATTTTTAATTTCATATGCTTCAAGTTCATATACATATTTACAAAAGATAAGTTTAAAGAATTATATGCTAAAAGATCAGCCGATATTAATATATGTATTGCTATTTGTGAAATTGGAATACAATAATTATACTATTATTGATATTTAAACATAATTTTTTTGAGACTTATCTTTAGTAAATATGATTCTTTTAGTGTAATTTTGAAAACTTATTTTTAGGCACAGATTACTGCAAAGTGCAAAAGGATTTCTCGATAGCAAATTGCTGTTCTCTGAATCGATGATTGCAAACGACGAAAATCCTTCGATCTTTATTGTGTGTGGTGTCTTTCTCGAGCCATTCGAATGCTCTTTGAGAGAGCAATAGCGAGAAATAGAGGCACCAGATCTATAACATCAATATAAGATCTCGATGAGATTTTTCGTACTCCTTCTGAATCTGCTACTCCTTATCCAATGGCGCTCCCCGCATTTTCGTGCCACTCTTTTACCTCGTTCTCTTTTTTATTTATTTTACTAAACGGTGCCGGATATGGTATTAAATTCTTAAGGGATATATATCGATACGGATTTATCTTTCACGACTCGCCACTTTTAATTCCGCGACTGTTCTTGCGTCTTATTTTGAAGTTTACGGCTGACCCTCTTAATACGACGAAACTCGTGAAACAAGTAACAAATGTGTAAGGAAAAATTCGTTATGAATTCCCGAACGAATCATTTTCGTTTCTCGAAAGAATGCGAGATATTTTATAGCATATGAAGGAAAATGCGAATTGAATCTTGAGATATATAAGATTCACCTTTAAACGCGCTCAAAGAATCAAAAAGAAAGGCAAATATAGAGATATTTTTTTTTAAATAAATTCGTTTATATTCTCGGCCAAGAAACGAAATCAATTTGTTCAAAATAAGAGAAAAACAATATCGTTCGGGAAGACGTCGTGTTGTGTAGCTTCACGAAACGAAATATATTTTTAGCTTTATGTTAACATCATGAGTTCACGTAAGTTTCTAGGATTGCACAAGAGATTAGTTTTAATGTTGTCTTGTTTTGAAATTCGAGACAAGATCCAGACAAGATTTCTAATTAGTATCAAGTTTATTGGTCTTGTCAAGATTATTAATTTAAAAGAAAAATTAAAATATATATTTATTTATAAATTAGATGAAAAAAATTACATACAATATATACCAATCTAAAAAATTTATTAAATAAATAAAAACATTTATATTAACAAATTTAGATTAATATTTGTGTTAACAAATTTAGAAACAATTAATATAATAAATAAAATGCAACATAAAATTTTACAAAATTTTTTAACTACATAAAACTTTGCATACAACACATGCGCAATTTTCTGATTGCATGCATGAGTCGCAACTGCATTCTATATATAACTGCCTTTTCGTAAAAGACAATGGATATATATATATATATATATATATATATATATATAGATGTACATATTAATAATTTTTGTCTAATACTGCACTTGTTTAAAATAATATTTAATATAATCTTTATACATTTTATTATGACTATTTATGTCATTCGTTTACTTATCAAAATGTGTACACAAATGACATAAATAATAATAATTAAATTATATTATAAAGATTATGTTAAATATATTATTTAAAACAATTGTTGAATATTAGATAAAAATTGTTAATAAATTCGAGATAAGACGAAATTTTTGATAGAAAGATTTACTCTAGACCAATGCAAGATTTAAATTTTTGAAAACCAATACAATATTTTTACGAATATTATCTTGTCTTGTGCAATCCTACAAATTTGTTTATCTTATGTCATTTGATTCGGGAAAAAATTCCATTTTCAATGGAATCTATTTATTCACGTTATTTCGTTACGAATACTCATTGCGAGTTTAGCTAGGTCAATTTCCATGGAAAGCATCGCTCGCACAATAAGTTCTGCTCGTTTCGTTTCGTTGCGCCACGCACAAACATTCGCGGTATCCATTAGTTTCTTTTCTTCTTTTTTTTGTTTTTTTTTTTTGCAGAAAGGAAAGGTGTGCATGGTACTCACGTCGTATCGTTCCTGAATGTGGGGTCCAGCTTGTGCGATGTAGAGCGTACTGGCAGTGTCGAATACTAATTCCTGAGGGATTCTGGTGACCCTCTGTCGGGACATCTCGTGGCAATTGAGGTAGAAGGTGACATCGGTCGTGGAAACTTTAATGACGATCTTCGACCACTTTTTCGTAAGCTTCGGCACGGTAAATTTCGCCACCTCCTCCGAGTGAGAGTGCTCGTCCGAGTTCGTATAGACCAACGAGATGTTCTGGTTCGAGCCAGGTCCATCCTGCGAGCATAATAGAGAAAATGTAAAATTCTTAACAGTTTTTATTTTAATCACATTTAAATTTCGTAATTAATAAAATGCAATTTTACATAAATGTGAGAAAGCAATTAATTATCGATAAAAATAAAATCGATATAAAAATAAATATCGATAAAAATGAACTTTTTCACACAATATTCTATATTAATAGATTAAATGTATCGAGAATGATCTAAGCCACATTTAAAGAAAAAACCATAAAGCAAAGAGTTATAAAATTGAATAATTATTGGATAAATAAAGCAATATAGTATCGCCATAATTTGATATTTTGAACAATGTCGATATATATATAATTGAAAATATTCTCGAATGTCAAAGTTTTCTAGAAATGCTCGAATCCGCTTTGCTTATCGTTCAAAGCACATACGTGACATGTCACGAGAATGATCCTTGAAAAGGGTACGAGAAAAAAGAAATCTTAAGATTAAGCGATATTATCGAGCGAATCGGAGAAAATCGAAAAATAGAAAATAGCGTTTAGTAAGAATTATAAGATAACCTTGGTTTTTGAAACGATTGCATTTTTAAGTCAGAAATTTAAAATATTACATTATGTCTTCAGAAAAAAAACATTCTTGATATAAAAATGTAACTTACACATTATAAAAATTCACACAGAATAAAAATTGCTTTAGACACTGTTATAAGCATTTTTTAATTAAATAATAATTATGCTTGATCAAATATGTAACTAATTGTATAAAAAGTTCTTTTTTATTTTTAACTTGAAAACAGTTACAATTTTGATGATATCATTGAGAAAATAATATTATCTGCGAAAGAAAAATAAATATAAAATTATAAAAAATATTATCATCGCAATCACATATAGTTATCTTTTTTTCATTTATTCATTCAAAAAGACAAAAACATAAGAGAATCACAATTACATTGATAAAATCTTGTTAAAGAGCTAATAATTATCCAACTGTAAAAGCGGATTTCTTTATAATTTGATATAAAGTTTTATCAAATTATATTTATATTTTATTAATTTATATTTGATAATAAGTTTTATCAAATAACGTCCTGTTTCACGTTCATCCTCTTATTTCTGCAAGACATTTACTCCTTGTTTCATCTCGTATACGCCATTATTTTCTTCAACATTATACTATTACGCACTTAGTCGTGCCATACGATTCGCTCATAATCTTTAATAAAATCCTGTAACATTTTGTGAAAGAGATATCCCGACGAGTTGGAAATAATTTGTCGTTGCAAAGATTTGCAGTTGTAGAAAAAGTTAGAGATTTAAAAGACGTGTATTATGCGCTTACCGAAATTCTAATGCCCAATTGGACGACGGTTTCGAAGGGATTAAGGACGGCAAAGAGGTAGCTCGTTCGGAAAGAGGTCGGCTTAAATGTGGCCACTAAAGTGAACTCGGCTGGCAACTTTTCCGGGAGGTACAATCTGTGCGGTTGCTTCACTTCGGATCCGGGTCGGAAGCCAAACGCCGGGAATCCGTCCAGACCGTCATCTATATAAAGATTGTTATCGTCCGTTGACGATACCGACGCCTCCATTAAATCGTATACTAGTTCTGAAAGCATACACGTCAATAGTTTCTATTACATTGAATTTAATTGTGGCAATGTTGACAATTCGAACAACTAATTAATCTAACAATATTGAAGTATCATAATAATATTGTATTAAATTGAAATGTTACAGAGATTGATAGGTGTGTAATCGAAGTTATTTGAAAACAAATTCTGAAATAAATTAATGCATGCATAAATTAATGTTAATTAAATTTTTATCATCTTTCTTGCTGTGAAACAAGTGTTGAAGTAAAAAGCACAGCGATAGGATATAACATATGATTTTCCCGCAATGCTGAAAATTATAAGTATTTTTAATACAAGATTCTAGCAAAGATTATTCGTAATGCAAAAATATAAAAAGTTAGCTCCTTCTACTAAATCATTAATTTTATCTTAATAAGCTTCATTTCCGCTCTCACAATGTATTCTTGGATATAAAAAAATAATCTGTTGTGTATATACATATTACTTTTTTATATAAATTAACAAATACATATATACAAATGCACCGCTCCATGTACATGTTTTAGCCCAATTAGTTATGGGAATCCAATGAGAACAAGGTTAATTAAGGAAACTGTTGAGAATGGGATATTCCGCGAAAAAGAGTTCTGTCCGAGAAACTACGAAAGAATAGTTCCGAGGGAATGTAGAAACTTTAATTAATTTTTCGCGCACGGGTTTTAAGAGAGAAAGAGAGAGAGGGAGAGAAGATTAGTAAGTGATATTCTAGTAAGATTATTTCACAGGAAAATTATTTAAATAAAGTATCTAGACTATCTAGACTAAAGTATCTAGTTGTAAATTCGTCATGTAAAATATATTGAAAAAATTTTATTAATTCTTACAATTTATAAAAAACGAATTAAATCACAAAAATTCTCTCATTTATTAGAATATTAGAAAATTTATTAAATATTAAGAAATGTTTTAAATATCGAAAAATTATTGCAAAAAGTGCTATTACTAGGAATATTTTGATAACGTTGATTATCAAAAGAAAGGAAACTGATGTAAATGATTTAATTCTTAAAAATATATTGCATACTCAATTTCAGCAAATATTATTGAGGATTTGCAATGAAAGTTTATAATCTTTTATAACAGAATTTTTTTTACATATATTGCATCCGGAAATGATAGCTTTAAATCATATAGAAAAATTTTTTTATATCGATATATCATTACTGAATAAAAATATAGTAAAACTTTATTATAACAAAACATTGTATTATATGCGTGTGCAATCTGTGCACATACGGTGTGATTAAGATCATAATTCTTTAATATATGACAACACCATTTTGCCCGCCATGCGTCATGCTTCGTCCTATGACACTCGATACATTGCGTGATATTCGCGGCTGAAAGCCCGATAACCGATATTTATTGTCGGGGACACGAGTTGCTGCAGTAAATCGCATTAAAAATCCTTCGTGCGAGCAGACGTCGACACGCTCGACTAGTCATTGCTAAAAGACGCTTCTCGTTACTCTAAATCATACCTGATATTGTTGCTTGAACGATCATTAGCATATACTGAAATATGTGACATAATTTTATCTTTAATAAGCACGAATGAGATTAATCAGAAGAATCATATTATTGATTATAAAAAACATGTTTCTTTTTTTGTACATTTCGTGCTCTGAAAAAGATATATAAAAAATAAATATTTGAATGAAAAAGAAATATTTTAAAATAGTACCATATATATATCAAGGCTAATAAAATATCTCACATCTTTATATATAATATTCGCTTTGTATCTTTTTTCCCACACGTATTCTCATATTATAAGCAGCTGCTCTAACAGCGAAATTCGTGAGCAAAGTAAAAATGTCCAACGAAAATACACGTAACAGCATGTTGGTGAACGGCAAGTTAAATTATCGCCACGCCCGAGGTAATTTCCAAATTGCATTTGGGGTTGCACCATATTCTCGTGTAACATATTCTACGGCCACGAGAACGTTGAGTGCCCAACGAATTCTCGTTTTCCTATCCGACTTGTTTTCTACTGACTACATTTTTTGCGAATTGCAAGTAGAGTAGTCTGTTCTGCAAAAGAGTAAACCAATTTTTTATTTATACAAACAACAAATATGAAACTGGATGAATGTATGTCCGATGAGTATATTCTGAGATTTGAGAAATATTTAAAAAATTGGTATTATATACCTTACATGTATTATATATATTATACTATATTATTATATATAATATATTAAAATATATATATATATATAAGGTATATAATATTAATGCATTTATTCAATAATATTATACAAAAGGTATCTTCCGTTTATACTGACAACCAACAAAAAATAAAAAAAATTATTGACATTTATATTAACAACAAATTGTACATGAATCTTTTATATAATATCTTTGAATATTTTTATTTTCCTTATTTTTAAAACTGAGATTTTATTAATTTTAAGATTTTTAATCACGATTAAAAAATTTGATTCCTGCAGATATATATATAACAAATATTATCGATATATGTGCAAACTATACAAGTCACTATTTTTCTCTCTAAAGATAGATTGTTTAAAATGCGCTTTCTATTATTTTCCGATTTTCCTGAAAATACTTATTCGAGAAGTTTGCAATAACAGTAAGGAAGATTTCAATGCTTGATGGATTGCAGCACGGAATTGATATGCACGGTGACTCGAACGCCGGTATAGAAACCAACCAAGTGACCTCCTATGTGCATATACGCTCCTGACGCACATCTCTATTTTGCGCCGAAATTGCAATAGGCCCAAGTTATTTTGAAGCCCAAACTAGGAAGCACGGGATATGCAGATTGAAAGAGGTGATAGTAATTAAAGAGCGAAAACAGGACTTAATAAACGAATGGATCTCCGCTCTGTGCGCTTTCTTTCCGCTTTATTTCAAAATAATCATACGAAAACCTATTTTCACAGAAATTTGCTCGTAATAGGTTAATGGAATTTTATTTGGGTTTAATTTATTTCGACATTAATTAATATTTTCCTTATTATATTCTTGCTATAAATGTGTCACATTCAAATTTTGTTCTATCGTAGGTATATTTATTGCTATGCTTCTGAAATTATAGATTAGATTTCTCCCGCCGATATATATTCATATATTTTGCAATAACCATATATTAACAGCTATCATTTTGATGTCGTATGATGAATGCTCGATATTCGCATATAAAATAATAAATTATTGTTTTTTGCAAAAACAACCCCGCAGTCATATCAGCAATAAAGATTAAAATAGACATCAACGTTTATCGATCGCACAATCATATTCCACTTCGATAAATTAGCGCTTTTGTCATTTCGGGCGCGAGAGCGACAGGCAGTAGCTTTAAATATAATTTAGCGTGAAAATAGTTTTGAATTTTCTAGAAGCTTGCCAATATGCATGAGGCATATGTACACGCAAAATTGTTGCTTTGTCCGAGGATAATTAGGTAATAAACTTCACTCGCAAGCGCGCATATTCAAAAAAATTATTATAAATTATTGTAATAATAATGTGATGCATAATATGCGATTTCACGCATGCGATTTTCCGCTCCGCCATGATTTTCGCCTCCTTCTTCGTATTTTGCGCGAATACATTTGCATAAATCCGTATGCCAATTCGCCATGTCAGCTCGTTACAACTTTTCCGATGGCGCATACAGGAATGAATCCATGAATCTCACAGATCGAACGAACGAATTGAATGTTTCAATACGAGTCGAGATGCAAATGTCTTCTTTAAACTCTTGACGCGCGAAGAGAGTTTTGTTGCCGAGTTCTATGCATCTTTCCCATGCTGCAATGCAGTGCCTGCTGTTTGTTGCGGTGTTTGTTACAGGCTAATGTTTTTGTTTCATCATCCATGATGTATTTTTGCGTTATTTTTCGCGTTATTTTGGATATTGTATCGTACTCCATTAGCACTTATAAAATCATCTTGGTGTATCAGTATATAACAATATGGTTATGTATTTCAAGATGACGTATACAAATATTATTTCTAAAAGTAGTGCATGTATGGTATTTAATGTTTATCTGAATTCGACACATTTAGTGATAATTACAAACATAATTTAGCAAAATTATTTTATTATAATTGCTAGAATTTATATATAGTGACAATCTTTTATTTTTACAAAAATTCTAGCTATTATAAATAAAAACTGCCATCAAAATCAAGATATATAAAACATTTGAATAGAAAGAATTTGATCATTGTGTATATGATTGTCAATTTTTCTAACGATTATGTATCTTCCAAAAAAAACTCATCAAACATGAAAAGCAAAATATCGAGTAAACATGTAGGCATCATTGTCACCATTGCAAAGTCTCCGTGAGAATATAACGTAAGAAAGACGTCCCGAGAGATGTTCTTACATTCCAGCAAATTTCCTGATCTCCCATCAGGGATGGCGCTTTTCTTTGGTTGGGATGCAATTCTGCAATTTTTGCGAACAGTTTATTTCTGGCGCACGGAGAATACTTTCATCTCGTATTTTTGCATATTTTAATGCACGAAGAATGCTACTGCGAGCTATCTTAATATTTTGAGCATTTTTGAACATACTAATTAATTAAATGAAATCAATGAGAGATGTTTCAAAAATTATGTGAAATACATAAAAAAAAATTATATATATTGTATATTTGAACATTACAAATTGTATATTTAAAAAAATGTAATTTATTGTCGAAAAGCATTGGAAATGAATTGAATTGAGCTTCGTTTAAAATAAATTTTAATATATTCAAAATTGAATAAACACAGATTATATTCTTATAAATGTATAAATCAATAAATACAAATTTTTTTATATGAATTTTTTATATGAATTTTATTATATGAGGTAAAAGGTTTTATAATATAATATTTGGCAATGTTACAATCGAAATATTTTTACATATATTAATATTATTCTACTATTTTAAAGTATTATATATATATATATATATATATATATATATATATATTTCATATA